ATGTTTGTGGCTACAGGCTGTATCCCTTTCACCAGTCACTGTCTTCCCATCTTGTAAAAGGAATAATGGGTAGGAGGGACAGGCTTGGTGTAGCTTCATTGTTTATTTTCTATTTTCTAGACTCTTGGAATGAAAAAATGCCATGTAGCATACTAAAGACCAGGATTGTGTGTACTTACTCCTTATCCAAGTACGGTCACATTGCCTTTGTAATATGAAGGAAAACGTAATTATTATTATAGTGTGCTGTCTTTATAGCCAGGAAAAGAACGGGGAAGTATATCCTTTTCTTCCTGCTTAAGTTTAAAACAATTTTTTTTTATTAAGCAGGAGGTTGTAAAAAATAGCTTTTCTCAGAACCATATGGCTCATTAGCACCATATGGTGCACCTGTAGCAGACACAGTTCTTCCTTGAGTCCTGCACGCCGACCTGTTTAAATGTGAATGATTGCCTTCCTCCCCCCTCTAGTACATTCAGGGTAGTTTAAGCCTTCCTGGCACACTGTGTCCTTCAATACTTTCTTTGTAGGCATGCTTGATTTTAGAATTGCTCTGTAATTGGGAGTCAGCCTCACTGTGCAATTGAATGTCTGAGGCTCTTCTCAGTGGTCCACCAACTTAATTAAATGACAGGAATATAAAAGCAATTAGGTAGGAACATTTGCAAATTGAATGCATATTAGCAATCTGTAGTTACAGAGACCTTCTCACTCAGACCTAACTTCTTGGATGTGTGGATTTTACCGATAGGAAAAAATTCAAAGAAAATTCTCTGTATGCCACAACTCCGATCTATTTTTGGCTGAAATCCTAAGGCCTGCAGGCCTAGAGAATTTGTTTATAACTATAGTTTCAGTTTTGAGGAAAGAAATGCCATTTTTTCTCTTCTCCCCTTTTACTAACCAATGGAAAACAACAAGAATAAGAAGCAATAAAGCAAGCTTCTATCTTCTTTGAAATTAGAGAAGATTCATAGCTGTACATATAGGACGGTGTATGAAAAAGAGGCTTTTTAATGAGTAAAAACTGTACCAGTGTGAATGTAGACTCAGAGAGAAGGCTGGAGACATCACATTTCATGAGCCATCTAGACAAAATGCGGAATTCTTCAAAATAGATGTCACAGCCTTGGCTTGAAATAGGACCAGGGTGCACACACTGACAGCAACATAGTGTCAGCACCGAGTGGCCTCAGACAGTTAAACAAACACAGGATACTCCATCTTTTCTAGCTTAAAAGACTATCAGTAGATCTTCTAAGATCATCCTTCTAAAGATTAGATATAATTACTGTAGGAATGTGTAAGGTAGACTGCTAAGTGAAAAGAGTGAGTTGAAAGTGATATGTAAATATCTCTCTGAGACTACGGAGGAACTGTAGGGAACAGACAACTCTCCAGCGTCTATGTCTGCTAAGGAAGAGTGAAGACATCACCATGCAGCAAAACCTTCCATTACTGGTTTCACTGGGAGGAGCAAATGTCCAGCCAACCCAGAGTCACTGGGGCTTTGATAAGGTTTCTGGAGGCATTAAGTCCAATGTGCTCAGCAGTTCATTTACTGTACTCTTACAATCCTCTCTCATCCTATGTCTTACAATACTACCCTTCTTCTCAGCTTAAGGATGGACAATATTAAAAGAAGACTGAGATTCAGACTTAAGTAAACATGTTATTTAAAAAGGAATATCACACACAGGGGGGTAGATAAAAACATCAGAAAGATTATACTACAAAGCAGGTGAAAATTAAGACAACATGTTTCTCTAAGAATAGGCCCAAACATATATTAATATCCAATACATACCCACATTTCAATTCATCTAGGAAATCATCCTATAGAATTGTACTGTCCAGTATAGTAAACACTAATACTTGAAATATGGAACACATTCATATATAAGGCTGAGGAATTAAATTTGTCATTTAATTAAGAACTGATACTCATTTCAGTTACTGTAAGACTTTAAAGTATATTTGGAGTAAACTGGGTATATCAATTTATTTTTCAATTATAAATTTTATGAAATCTAAATGTTGACAATGTATTGCCAATGAAAATTAAGTGTCTCAATTAAGAGATGCTCTAAGTATAAAATATATGTTAGGTTTTACCACTTTTAAATGCTAGTTTCTTCACTTTTTTAATGAGGTTACTAGAAAATTTTAAATTATTTGCCACTCGTATTATACATCTATTAGATAGCATTGTTGTAGAAATAAAAACACTAGTATGTAAAGAAAAAGTACTATTAAACAAACAAACAAAACCCCCCACACACACATAGCAAAAAACAAAACCCTAAACTAAAAATAAAATTCAAATCAAGACCAAAACCAAAACCTGGAACAAAGTGAGTGCTTGTCCCTAGGGGAATGTTTAATACATACACAAAATATGTCATGGGCTATTATGAAGGCTGTGAAAAGAATAAAGTTCTACCAGTAGACTTGAATATCCCCTAAGTAGTATTATAGAAGAATAGTAAACTGCATAGAAATATGAATAATTTCAGTATTATAAAACTACTATCCCAATCCTCATTACATGGTTATGTTTGCAAACATGATCTGAACATGAAAAAAATACAAAAATCTATATATCACATTCTTTGGGATGCGGTTGACCAGTGGCAGGGGAGAGGAGGAGGGAAGTAGGAAGAAAATAAAAGGTCTAACTCTCTCCCTCCCCCAACACGTATATTATCTCATTTATGTAGAATTATACATACACATATGCACACTCATGTGGTATGCACATGTATGTGTGTGTGTAGGGAAGGATAGAGATAGAGCTATTTATAATGATTTGTTGGCATATCCAAGTATATTGTCTAGTGAAAAGAAGTTGAAGGTGATAGATAAATAGACTCCTTCTATTTGTGTAGAAACAACAAATTCCCTACATTCTAATGTATATTTGGAGACTGGTATGCGTAGTAGTTATTTAACAATAGTAACCTCAGGAGTGTGATAGTGGAAAGAGAGCTGGGGTGTGTGTGTATATGAAGTGGTCACTTTTAATTACAAATAGATATTTTTGTAATTTGAAAAGAAGAAAACAATCAAAAAGTAGTAATGCAGTCATGTATTGCTTAAAAATGGGGATAGATTCTGAGAGATGCATTGTTAGGCAATATTGTCATTGTGTGAGCAATACAGAATATAAATACACAGACTTAGATGGTATAGCTTACCCACACACCTAAGACTATATGATACAGTCTGTTGGTGCCACTGCATCTATGTGGTCCATTGCTGATGGAAGTGTCAGTATACAATGTATGGCTATATTGTTTATCTTAAACAAAAAGGTGAGGTGCTACAGACGTCCAAGGGAGAGTCTGACAACAGACAAAACTTGAAAATTAGATGGTCAGAGAAGAAGCTGAGATTTTCTTAGAAAGAGATTCTCAGGCATAAAATGGTTGAAAAATGTGAAGAGTGAGAAGGAGGAAAAAACAGATAGCCAGGGGAGACAAAAGAGAATGAACATATGGACAACTGGCATCCTAGCATACCATTCCATAGGCTTTTATGAAGGCTGACATCACAACAGAGAAAGAGGAAAAGACAGGTAAACTTACTTTTCTAAAATAAAGTCTAGATACTGAAAGGTCACATTGAGGTCCCAGAAAATTTTGATACAAATGATCAATTATTAGAAATATTTTTTTATATTGTGCTTTAGAAACAGGCTCCATTAGGCATTTAACTTCTTCCTCCACCACCAATACCATCACTACAAAAAAAATCAACTATATATCGATTAAAAAAAAGGTACTCTTATGCATGAACAAAAGGAAATATAAATAAAACAATTACTTAAAATAGATTACTTAAGGTATTCCAAAAGCTTTTACACATTTGCTTTTTCATGTGGATCACCTTTTGAATCAGTCATTAGGGTTTGTGTTGTCTCACATGATCATGTGCTCTTTGAGCTGTTAGGATAATTTGTGATAAACATTTCATTAGAGATCATCTACCATTGATTCTGGAATTTTCTTTTGAGACCCATTAAAGTCCTTGTCTGATACCCATTAAGAAAGTTTGATGCTGAGACTGTCCTGGCAAATGGAACTATCAATGGAAAGTTGTTAAAGCTTAATCAGGATTTATTTTTCTTCTTGAAATTGTCATCATGTGGCTTTTTGACTGAAGAGGAACAAATTTTCCCAGTCTCTCAGTCAGAAATTTGCACACAAATAGGTTTAAGTTGTGCCTATCTGGATACCATGCATACCCATGTTATTTCTTCAGAATACTCACTATCCCTCCCAATGATAGGATGATTTATCCATGGCCATTGACATCATGCTTGCCATATGTCTAGCTTCAGATAATGGAGTGGAGTGGAAATGAAGGGCTTCATTTCCTAGCAGAAGTTTTGAGAGTTATCATGTGGCTTCCCACTTTTCTTTGCCCTCTCCCAAACACCAACACTGGGGCTGCACTTTGAGCCAGCTTTCCTGGAAATGAAGACAACGTGGAGTATGGCCAAAGCTGACCGTCACCAAACATACAACGTGAGGGACAAATAAAAAGCTGCTATTGTTTTTTGGGTTGTTGTTACTGCAGTGTGGTTTAGCTTAAGTTGAGCAGTATAACTCCATAAACACAAGAGATTTAAAACCTGAATTTGGAATGGCATAGTGCTCTCCTGAAGAAGTCCTTCTGCAGGGCTTAATGAGGGCAGGCGATGAGTGGTGATGGCTGATTGCCCTCGCCTGCATAAGAGTCAAGTTCAGACTATTTCAGGTCAGCCAGGGCGAATGCAGAGTGACCTCATCTCATCTGGACTACTCAGAGACTCATACTAAGTAGGTGTGGCTAAGTCCTAGCCCAGTTGCAATCCATCACACGCATATATACATATATATGTTATATAACACATCTATGTTATATGTAACGCATGTCATAGGTAACATATGTCATACATGACACATATATTTTATATACACATATACATATACACATACATATGCATGCATGCATAAAATGTGTTTAAATATCCTGAAATTCTACCATCAGAAAAACATTCCTGGGGCTGGAGACAACTCATTTTGGGACACCGCATTCGTTATCTGAGGGAAAGAGGTTGGAAGGGAAGGAGGAAGATTCTGTAGATGTGACGTAGTCACTCCCATTTTCCTTCTTTCTAATCAGAACTGATTCCATGATCAAAGCATCAATCTGTGGAGAATAGCCTTTTTTTCTCCCCAAAGCATCTGTACTTAGGGATCTGTTGGAGAAGCAGCTGGGCTTAAAATGCATTAGGGATCCAACTGCAGTTCAGCGTTGAGGGATTCAATAATGTGCAGCAGTCTTTCAATGCATACAGGCTGTGGTTTCCTCCAGGGATGACCTCACCAGGACCCCTGGCAATGGTGCTGGTGAAAAGTGAAGTGCAACAGTTAGTTGGGCCTTAGAAAATAGAAACAGATGAGCAGAAGATGGCATATACTAAAATTAGCAGAGGGCAGGCAGCTGATTGCCTCCTTCACATTCTGGCAGAGGTTGTTTAAGGATGACCCCACCAGGTAATTGGTATTGAATCTCGAATCCTTTTTGGCTCAAGGACTCTCCTTTCATACTCCAGGATAAAAAAATATAGAATTAATCCTTATAAAACACTTTACACATCGAGAAGGGCAGATAGAGTAGAGCTATTGATTTTGCAAATATAAACTCTATAGGGTTAGGGTGTCTGGTGTGGATCACCGGTGGCCCCACAGATACCGTAACCCATCACCATCATCTTGTTGCTTAATCCCCTTGAAAGGGAGGCAGTTCTTAGTAACTAGTACTAGGACACCAGGTAAAGACATGGGCTGTGGGTGGAAAGAACTGAGTTTTTAAATCTCTGTTGTGCTTACATTCATTTTCCTTGGGTAAGTGACATAGTTTTCCCACACCCTGATTTAATAAAATGCTAAAAAAAGGCAGTGGTGGCTAACTTATACAGTGGCTGCAAGTGAGTTGATTCATACAAAGTGCCTAACAGGCACAGCAAGGAGCACATTAAATACTTGAGCAGCACTAGCTAATAATAGCGTTCCTCGGCTTAGCTCAGAAAAGTCTAAATGAAAGGTGGTTAGAATGGCCACATAAGTTCTTATTTTTAAATTAAGCATTATGAAGTTATAAAAATAAGTTGATGGGGTCTTTTGGTCTAATTTGTTTATTTATAATGGAGATGCAGAAGTTATAAAAGAATACAATACCTGCTCAGCAGACTTTGGCAACAGGACACCATGTTCGTTGTATTTCTAGGTAAACTGGAGTTGAAGGCATTCTCTAAAATACGCTGACAGTTGATATCTGCAGGAGTGCCTGAGAGCATGCCTAGAAATGGAACAGAGTGCCATTTTTATTTTGTTAATGAAGTCACTGATCTCTCCTACTGTTCTTAGCTTCTCTGCTATGCTCCACACATTTCCTTCCGTAATGTGTTCAACAGCAGAGCTGCTTTCTGCTTTCTGCAGCAGCATATGAGCGCCAAGAAACTGACCCCTGGACGTTGCTACCCCTTGGGTGTGGGGACATAGGACACAAAAAACAGCTTGCAGTACCTGCAATGCAGGCTGTCATAAAGCAGGCAATAGTCCCCGCAATCAAAGCTCTCATTGCCCCCGAGGCGATGTCACACTTTCTGGAAGGAGCCATGGATGCTAGGAAACAGAAGCAAGTTTAATGTTGAGGCTATTCACTAGAATTCCAAATTCCTAGTCTGAGAATTGTTCAGGGGCCAGGGTCCTCGGTCAGCAGAATGGAAAAGATTTTTAAACTTAGCTGGGTAATTAATTCACTATTCAAGAACTTGGTGGTAAATTCCACTTCCCAAACAGTTATTTGGTGTGGAAAGAAGGGAAGAAATTTCCCTTATCAAAATATCCAGAGGTTTCCATTCTGTCCAGAAGAGATAATATTTAAGTTTCATCCAAAGGGTTTATAATATGTTGTGGGCATGGCAACTTAAGTAGGTTGCAAGGGAAGCCCATCTACCTGCAGTTCATCTGTTACCATCCACTTCTATGCCGTGATAGATATCGCTAACAAATCAGCATATTTCCACTGACTTTCCATTATACCCCTCGTTCTCTGGGTGCCCATTGTACATCTACTGTAATTGGCATTATACATCTATGTGTTATCCCTAGAGTGGAAGTACCTGTACATTTGAGCAAATTCCTCCTGAAGTTAGCTTGGGCATACACAGGAAAACTATATTGCAGAGCAGGAATAAAATATAGTCAGCAAAGGATTGTGAGACCTTTTTTTTCCCCCTGACATGAATAACGTTCCAGAACAAGATGGAGATCTGCAGCATGTTTACATCATATCAGCTGTTGAAAAATATTCTTTTCACTTACTGAGTCCGCCGATCACTATTCCTAGGGAACCAAAATTGGCAAAGCCACAGAGTGCGTAAGTGGCAATTGTCTCAGAACGAATCTGTAAGTAAGCATAAACACAGATGGATCCTTGCTGTGATCCAGTTTGGAAAATCTGACATCCTAACTGGGTTTCTATTCTGACTACATAATCAATTTGACAAATAAATGCATGATGCATGGTGGCAAATAACCGTTGCTTCTTAGACTCTCTTTTTTCCCATCTCTCCCTGAATTGAAGGAGGGAGAGGGGCTATGTGGATCAGAGACTTTACAAAGAGAAGCCTTGACTTCTATAGATGTGACATTCTGCTCGATGATAATATCTAATATTCAGCATGACCTGATCACCTGCTATAATGTGCCAAGCATAGTACTAGCTGCTGGAGATGCAAAATTGGTATCAGGAGATATTTATATAACATTTATTCAACATAGGTCTTATTGAAAATCTATAGGGGGTTCTCCCTGGTGGTACAAGGGGTTAACTCTTAGCATTATCAAGCTATCACCAGCCACTGCAACATGAGTTCGATCCCCGGCCAGGGAACTAACCCACATGGTGCAGCAGACCTCTCCTGTCTTGCCCACTGCTCCCATAAGCAGTGTATTTCAGTAGATTCCTCTGTTTTGCTCCCCACTGTATCTCCGGTGAAGCTTCTCAACCCCCACACCTCTGGCCCACACCCCAGTTCTTGGATGCATAAATAAAAATAAGTATTTAAAAAAATGCATAAGGAATTATTATGACCCAATAAGAAAACAGGTGCCCAATGAAAAACAGATAAAGAGTTTTGGACACTTGACAAGTGTCATCAGGGAAATGCAAATTAAAACAATGAGATACCACTGCACATCCACTAAAACATCTTTAAAAGATGGACAATACCAAGTGTTGGTGAGGATGTGAAACAATTAGAGCTCTCATATGTTGTAGAGGGGGGATGTAAACCGACAAAGCCTGACACAAACATACTTGGATGTTTCCTACCATGTTTATATACATTATCTTATATGACCCAGCAATCTCATTCCTAGGAATTTTCCCAGGAGAGACAGAAACACATGCCCTCAAGAAGACTGATCATGAATACTTACAGCACTTTTATTCATAAATGCGCCAAGCTGGAGATAACACAAATGCCTTTCAATTGGTAAATGGATAAATTGTGGAGATCCATAGAATAGAATATTACTTTGCAATAAAAGAAAAATAACTAATACATGCAACAGAGTTTATATGAAACTCTAGAATAAGCAAAAGTAATGTACAGTGAAAGAAACATCATTGACTGCCTGGGAATAGGTGGGTAGGTAAAAGGGTTTGTTGACTAGAGTTGGTCATAGGGAAATTTTCTATGTGTGATACAAAATTTCCATATCTTGATTGTGGCTATAGTTATCTAGGTGACACATATGTCAAAACTCTATACCCAAACTGGGCCTTTTTGGTATATAAGCTATACTTCAGTAAAAAGGGTATTATTTAGAAGGAATTATATGAGTATAAATGGTGCTCACAGATATTGCAGGAATGCTTTCTGTTCTGGCTAGGTGTGTGCTTGCTCGCTTTTTGTATTGATTTATTTCTAATTGATTTATTTTGTCTGTGTGCTTGCCTTTCATTCCTCAGCCCTGACCACCCCACGGGAACAGTAGGTGCCTGTGAAAGTAGGGGAATGAATAGTCCTTTGACAGCACAGTGAGAAGATGGAACTTGGCTCTATACAAGCATGAGCTTCTACCTCTACTCCGACAGTCCGTTTGTGGTGCCCAGATGGTCTCTTTCTCAGGTTGGCCGACTGACTATGGGAGGCTCAGCAGATTCATTGGACTTTGTTGTTCCCTGGGGTCACACCTAATTTGGCAAAGCACTGTACAAGTGAGGGAATAATTTTCTTTTCCAAAATTCTAAAAACATCATGATATGGTTCAAAGAACAAACCAGGCCAACACTAAATTCAAAAGTAGTGTTGCATTCTTTTTTCACTTGCTAAACTTACATAGAAGACTTACATTGAAGAGTTCATGGTTCAGTTTTTTGCCTTCATGGTTTCTGAGAACTCCTTGTTGATACTTTCAATCAGCCTGCATGTAGCAGGCAGGGAAAAATTTCAAGTATTCGAGCAGTCGGCTGGATCTGGGAAAGCTCATGCTTGCCCCCTGCTCTTTCTAGTGCTTTTCATTTAGTTCAATTGGCTTCAAAAACAGGCAAGCTTATTAAGAGGCTGTGGGGAGGGAGAAGGTATAAAACACTTGAGATTCCTTTCTCCTCCTTCAGGGGGTCTGAGGAAAGGGATACACAGATGTGGCCATGTAGGGTTTTGTAATGAGAGGAAAGGGAAGCTAGATTGATTCCACTTCGCCTTTGCCCATAAATGTGCAAGAATTACATGATGAAAAGAGTGCACTGAATTTGGAAATTAATAATACACTACAGCTCTCCTTGCAAATGGGCAAAGGTGCCATATGTACAAGGAAAGGCATTGAGGCATTACTTTTTAGAGCAAACAAATGGTAACAGTGTTCATCAACAAAAGGCTGGAGAAAATAAATTATAGGGTACTCAAACAATAGAATGCTATGTCACAGACACTGTTTCTGGGAATGTTCATGCTACATAGACTTTTTTTTAAAAAAGATTTATCTCTATTTACTTATGCTTACAAAAATGGGGGTATATAGGCTGGAGGTGTGGTGAGTTGAGAGGATTCGCCAGAGACAGAGTCGGGAGCAGAACAGGCATATCTACTGAAATACACTGCTGAAGGGGGAGCAGCAGGTGAGACAGGACAGGTCTGCTATGCCATGTGGTTTTGCTCCCTGGCTGGGGATGGAACTCATGTCACAGTGGCTGACAATAGCTTGATAGCATTGAGACTTTAACCCTTGTGCTACTAGGGAGACCCATACTACGTATACATTCTGACAACCTATCTAATGTGGGGGGCAGTAGTAGGCATAATTTAATGGATAATACTGCATTTTTGCCTTATGCACCCAGATGTTATATTTCAGTCATGTGGTACCTCTTCGAGATGTTGGGTTGCCCCTACCACTTCTTGCTTGGCAAATGGACTTCAGGGATTTATCCCAATCAGGTTGATTGGAATAAGAAATACTTTTCTCATCATGGCTCTGCAGCAACAGAAACCAAGGAACTCATCTTTCCAAGTGTCCTTCTGTTTGGGCTCACCCCAATCCCAAATCAACTGCACTGTTCTGTCTCTACCCTCTTCATGACCCGTTCGCAAGCCTCTCAGCACTGCCAGAACCGGGAGCTTGCTGTTGCTCATTAGCAAAACTATTTACTCCTGGCAACTGGCAGTTGGGAATAGAAAAACATTTCACTAATTTAGCCCATTGTTTATTTTCGGCAGAAAAGCAAGCTGGTTTATGGTGGTGTCCAAACAATGAGTACATTTGGCCAAGCTCTATTGTGTGGTCAGTTGAAGAATGAAACATTTGAGAAGCAGGAGACCTACAGAGTTACAGCCTGTTCATGTCGGCTGTGTACAAAGTGCCCCTGACTATAAAATATGGATTAGCACTCTCCCGGAGTAAACTTTTATATTGGTGTAATATGTGGGAGTAATCTGCATGTTTACTCCTGGGGAGGCTGGGGTTGCTGAGGTATTGTTCAGGGTGGGCAGTCTCAATTAGAAGCTTGGGCAGTATGCTTTTCCTCTCTTTTCCTTTTTTTTTTTTTTTTAAAGATTTATTTGTTTTTATACAAGAAGCGGGGTACAGGCCAGATACACAGGAGGGTGATTCACCAGAGACAGAGTGGGGAACAGAACAGGCAGACTGAAGAAATACACTGCTGAGGGGAGCAGCGGGCGAAACAGGAGAGGTCTGCTTTGCCATGTGGGATTCTCACCAGCCGGCCAGAATCGAACCCATGCTGCAGAGGCTGAGGACAGCTTCACAGCGCTGCGCTCAACTGCCTGCGCCACCAGAAAGGCCCCTGTAGTGGCAGGAATGGACACGGTGCAGGTTTTCTAGGATCCAGCAGACCGGGTAAAGGAGGAGTCAGAGTCCTCAGTGTTTTTTGCAGGTCTTTTATTGGGATTACCAGGTACACGGCAGGCAGGGGTGCTGGAGGGCCGGGAGGCTGGCAGGCCTCCCAGCCCCCAGCAAGTCTTCACTCTATCTGGGCTCTCCAGTGATCTCTGCTTCTGCTTCTCTTTTGGCTTCTGCTGGCATCCCCGTGACGCCGCCCTTAAAAGCCCAGTCGAATCCCATCTACCTATGCCCACACCCTACTCCAGGTGGCCGCCATCAGGCATGAATTCAGGACCGCAGGGTTCTGTCATCTATCCTGATGGCTGGAGGGCAGAAAAGCCTGATACTTTTACCTTACCCTATAACCCTTTCCCCTTTTCTTTTAATATCAAATATGTGCCTAGGCCATTACTTCCAAGCATTGTGTCACAATGAATAAGGGTGGTCAGAAACATCCACATTTCCCTAAGAGTTTCTATGTGTGACAATTCTGTTCTTTAGGAACATGAAAGTTGGAGACTCAGCTGCAAATCTAACCTTAGGGGACTTGAATCCCCTTATCCCATCCAAGGTCAAGCAGACATGAGTATCTCCTTGCAGGCTTTTGACCTGGGATCCTGCTTATGTCAATGACCCTGAATTTTTTCTCTTCCCTTATCTACTTGGAAAGCAATTACTGTGTCTCACTATTTCTTAGGTTAGTCATGTAGCTTCTCAGAGGCCACAGAACTCCATAAACAGGAAGTTTCCTTCATGATCATTAAACCCTGAACTCCAAAAAGGCAGAAGCCTCAGGCTTGGTCAATGCCGTGGCCTTAGAAAACAGCACTTTGCTCATAGAAGACATTTGATAAGTACTTGTTGATTGATTCCAATCCCAGATCATATGACACTGGGCTTGCATAGGTGCTCAAAAGTAGATGACCACAATGGTAAGGAGAAGCTGTGTTTCTCTCTCTCTTGCTCTGCACACACACACGCACAAACATTAATTCAACATAACTGAATGTTCAGAGGTGCTATGGATATTAGGGCTCCATGAGATGGGGATTTTGGGTCTGTTTTGTTCTTTGATGTGTTCTGAGTGTCTGGCATGGTGCCCTGCACACAGAGCTACCAGTAACTATTTGGTGAATGTATGTATGTGATGCAGAAGTATATTAGAAAATCAAAATTATTTACTTACCGACATATATTGCTGCACGCCATTCACAAATTTGGGTCCAGCCTTTTTCCTCAAATTGATCAATTTTGAGAGGTGCTCATAGGCCACAAATTCATTGAAGAATGTCTTATAACCTATGAGTTTGGCGACCATAAAGCTGTCTTGCCAATCCACTCCCATCATGAAGGAAAAGGGCATGAAGATGTAAGAGCATATTATCTACAAAAACCAAAAATAGCTACTTTATTAGATTAGTGACTTGCTTCCAATTCTGTTTTCTTGGCTTCCTAATGAGATTATTCCTAGGTTCTCCCACCTCACCCCCCAACCTCCCACCTCGCTGTTTCTTTTAGGCATAGAAATCCCTTCACATTCTCTTGCCCATCTTTATCTATTAGGAGTCAAGTTTGGAATTGCATCATTTGAAGTAACCTGGAGAGAGTGTCAGGAGAGAGTAATTTTATGTTGGGGAAGGAGGGTGATAGGAAACAGAAACAGGATGGGAATACGGGGGACACATGAAAAGTTGGTACATAGTGTAAGAGTGTAATATAGACAGGGACTGCTGTTCACAAATCTATTTTATTTTAAAACAAAGGCAGAAACATAATGGAGGAGGAACATGGTAGAATTATACCTCAAAACTCAGCTGTGGGTAGTCAAACATATTTCCAAACCAGGACAGGGCTGAATTCACAAAAGACAACAGGGCCAGGAAGGCAATCAGATTCGCAGCAATGTTTGCCACCAGAGGGATAGATGAGGATGCTCCCTGGGATGCAGCTTCTATGAGATTCCTTGAGTCTCTTTATCAAAAAATAGTGATTCCAGGATTACCAAGGGGTCATCAGTAGATTGCACATCACAGATGTAGAAGTGGCATTTGGATCAAGAGACAAAGTCTCAGGCCCATACTTTGGTGAAAATACTCACCTGAATGCTATTAAATCATGATGGGATTAATAATTGTTGAGTGTAGGTAATGGACATGTGGATTCTATTAAATCACTTTTAATTAGGGGGCATTTATAATAAAAATTTGGGAAAAATAAGAATATTACAGATTACAGTATTAAAGTATATTTAATTAAAAGTAGCTACCAGAGGATATTTATAAAATATTCATAGATTAAGAACTAATAATTCAAGGAAGGTCTGAATATCCAGACGTCTGCTCATTTAAGAAATGAAGCATCACCATCACTTTTTAGTCCCTCCTCTCTCTGTGTGCTTCCTTTCATTTAAAAAAAAATGTATTTATTTATACATACAAGAACTGGAGCACAGGCCAGAGGTGTAGGGGGTGAGAGGACCCACCAGAGACAGAGTGGGGACCAGAACAGGCAAACTGACTGATATACACTGCTGAGGGGAGCAGTGGGCGAGCCAGGAGAGGTCTGCTGCACCATGTGGGTAGCTCCCTGGCCGGGGATCGAATTCCTGCAGCAGTGGCTGTGGACAGCCTCATAGGTTGCGTGTTAACCCCTTGCGCCACCAGGGAGGCCCTCTATGTGCTTCCGTAATCTCATCCTTTTTTCAGTCTCAGAGCTACCTGGCTGCCTAGAATTTGCTTGGCATTCCCTTTCTTTTCAAGTTGCCTAAATGTCTGTATTCCTAAATAATAGATTGCATAGACTTAGTCATTTGCTAAGTACAATCACACATAGTCCACATCAATTCTTTGGCAACTTACTTTTTTGCACTCATGGTTATAACTATTTATATACAAAAAAGGGATGAAACTCAGAAACAAGTTGGTTGATGGATTTTGTTATTATGAAATCCTTGTGAACATCTTAAATCCTTGGTCTTTGTCCACACGGGGCAAAAGAAAGTGAACAAAAGAAGAGGTAGGATACCTATATCACACCTTCTCTTCCCTATTATAAAAGAAACATCCAGAAATGGTCATCATGTGGCTTTACAACTGTTTTAATTCAAGGTTCAATGAACACTACACTAAATTTAAAATAAGAATCTGTACTGCACAGTCAAGGAAATGTATTGACATTCAGGTATTTAGAAAAGTTTCCCCCAAGTGTTGAAACACGATTCATATGGTGAAATCTACATAGTTACTAGGAAATTAAATTCACTGTATTATGGAATGGAACGCAAGCCTCGCCCATGCTGCAGCTTGTATAGTCATTAGCTAGGTGAACATGTCCCGCTTACCCATTTTCCATCTTCATGGCATTCTTGAGGGTTATTTTAGGTGTTTCAGTCTCAGGCCAAAAGAGTTTAGCAACAGCCAGTGACGCGGGTGCTGACATAACTGAAGCAGTTAACAAGTGGGAAGACGAGACCTTGATTCAGGAAAAAGAAGATCAACTTAGTGTGAGTTTTTCTGTTGTGTTCAGAATGAATGGCCCAGTTTTATAAGAGAAGCGCGATGGGTATGGGTTGGTTCTATGCCAGAAAATGTTTTGAAGGCATGGAATAGCGCAGTGAGGCAGGTCATGAGCATCACCTTGAGAATGCAAGGGAGAAAGGAGGGATTTGTGTTAACTGACTATGTCCTCTGGGACAGGCACAAAACCAAAATCCAATCATTTCAGAAGAGAATTAATCCTGTGGTATAGGAAATTTTAAAGAAGGTTCCTTCAATTCTCTGTTCTATTTTTTTTTTATTTTTAATGTCACTGTGGGAAGAGCCATCTACCTCCTCCATCTTCCTTTTACTCTCCTGAAGTCCTCTGTGTCTTTACGTAATAGTCATTTACAGAGTCCTTAATCTGTAAGCTATTTCTGTTTTCCTTGATGCAGTTCTACTTAAACTTTTCCCCTTTCTCTCCCCACATCCTTATTTTGTTTTCAGATTCTCTTCCCCACATGTTAAGAATTCCAGACTCAGTGCTTCCCTCCCCATATCCATCCCACTAGCACATGGCTACAGGCAGAGTTGCCATAGCAGCGGCAGAGTGGACCTACCGGATATCCATTCAAACTTCTATTCCTGAGATCTCCTTCACCCTTTCTTTTCTTCTTCCTTCCTACTTTTTGTCTCTCTGAAGCCCAGATGAAGTTCGTAGATGAAACTCACCTTTCTGTAAGAACTCCTAGATACATGGCTGTGGCTCTATGTTCAGGTACTTGGGCCTGGGCTTTAAGACTGCTGAAAGTTCCAGGTGATTCTAATGTGTAATAAGGTTTAAGAACTGCTCTGGATCAGAAAACTTCGGTTGCAGAGGGTCAGAGAGTAAATATTTTTGACTCTTGGCACACAACTACTCAAGTGTAGCATGCAAACTGCCATGAATAGGAATAGTTGGTTTCTAATAAAATTTTAGTTATTAAATGTGGGAGTTAAAGGAAAATGGGATAACTTGGGCTCTTTTTCACCTCCTGCTGCTGGCCTCTATATCTGTTTTTCTCCCACCCTTCATTATCCACATGTGATAGTTGTGTTATTGCAAAAAGTGCTTGGGAGCGTGAGCATGGGGCATACATGCCTGTGACTGTGGATACCTGGGTCAAGAGACCCACAAGCATGGAGTGTAAGCACCTATAAATACAAACATCTGACTGAGAAGCAGGAGATTGTGGAGACTGGAGGTTTAGGGGGTGGGGTCTCGGGGGTTAGGAAGCTTGGAGGTTTGGTTGCTGCCTGCCTTTCAGCCTGCCTGCTGGTCTGCCTGTGTATCCAGCGCCTCTGCTTCAGCATTTAAGGCATGCCAGATACACCGAAGGCTCAAAGATTCTTTTTCCATTTGCCAGAATCAACTATGAACCTGCCTGGCCTAGGCTGGTTGCACAATAGGGAAAAATCTAGACTAGCCCATGGGCCATAGTTTGCTGACTCCTGGCTTAGAAAGTCTTTACTATAATAGTTTTTGTTTGTTTTCTGGTCTTGTTTTATATATTTAAATTGTCAGCCCAAACAGCCTCATAATATGATTTCATCCTGTTCTGGTTGGATATAATTCACATTCAGGTGGTGGTGATATAAAAGTAAAGCAACTTGAGCTCACGTCATCACATGCCAAAAGAACTGTGACCAGCCACACAGCAGAAGTCATGTGTGACCTCCAGACCTGGCAGCAATGGCAAAGAAAAACAAAAAGTAATAAGAAAGAAAAAAGAGGGGCTGTGTTGTCCATAAATTAGTCCTCAAACACTCTTACCCCAAAAGAAATGTATGCCCCTAAGACACTTCCAGCGATGGTAGAGAACCCTGCTGTCATGATGGCATGAAGCTCGGATTTGGTGATATGTGGTAAATATGGTCGGACCATCAGTGGGGCCTCTGTCTGGAAACAAAGGATGACAAGATTAAATCTTAGGAGGGCATCCAATCTACTCAATTCCATTCTTTATTTTTTTTAAAAGATTTATTTATTTATGCATACAAGAGCTGGGGTATAGGCCAGAGATGCAGGGGGCGAAAGGATTCACCAGAGACAGAGTGGGGAACAGAACAGGCAGATTGAAGTAGACTGCTGAGGGGAGCAGTGGGTGAGTCAGGAGAGGTCTGCTGTGCCCTGGGTTGCTCCCTGGCCGGCCGGGGATCGAACTCATGCTGCAGAGGCTGCGGATTGCTTCATAGTGTGGTGCTTAACCCCTTGCGCCACCAGGGAGGCCCTCAATTCCATTCTTTAAGGCAATATTTCTAAGAATGGCTCGTAGACCAGTTCCATCAGTATCACCTAAGAATGTCTTAGAAATACAAATTCTCAGACTTACTGAATCAGCAACTTTAGGGTTGGGACTAGTGATTTGTGTTTTAACAAATCTTCCAGGTGGTTCTGATACATGCTCCAGTTAGAGGACCCATTGATGGCTGGTGATTTGAACTGGAGGTTAATGTACATGTAGAGTCATGTGCAAATTTTGCAAAGTTAACAAGGCAAATTCACATAAGGCCCCACTTAGCTTAGGACTGGAGCCTGATTGCTGGTTATGCTTTTCTAAGGTTAGTACATTACTGGCTAAGTAACTCTGCCCAGTAGCCTGGTCTGGGAAAATCCCTGCTACGATCACAGGGTAATACATACAACTATAAAAAATTACCAGTAATAACAAGGGCAGATGCCCATAGACACTTTCTAATTGAGAATCAGAAACGCTTCTCTTTCCTTGGGTGGGGAAAATCAAAATATAGTTGTAAAGGCTTTTACACTAAAGAAGACAGGCAGCCTGCAGAGTGGGGCTGTCCATAAATAATAACCATACTTTTAGCATATTAAGTATCATATTGAGCACCACAGAAGTATGTGTGCAATTTTACAATTTTCCTCTCATTATTTCTAATTGTTCTATAAGATTGAATGTGTTCAGCTTCAATTTATGGACTAAATAGGAACTCAGTACAGGAGCCCTCTTACCCTGCAGGTAGGAGTAATCAACTCAAGATGGTGCCCTAATTAGTCCTGGGAGATTTTATGACTATAATTATAATAATTTCAACTCCTTGGGAAGGAAGCATGGGTCCTACTCTAAGATTATGCTCCAGGATAGCAATCTGGGCTTATCGACAAGAAGGTTCAGCCAGGCTGGCGTAGTTGTTAGCCTAGGATTTGGAGCTGTGTGTTATTCTGGGTGACTTGATTTTTGCTTCAAATCCAATTTCCTTGGGCAGTTGTAGTAGGAAAGAGTTATCCTTGTTTTCCTTGCTGTGTGATTCCATCCTGCCTGAAAATATATACCTTGAAGAATGAGCTTACTACCATTTCTTACTTATCTACCCCTTAGATTTGGTGCTATCCTGAGGGCTGATATTCTGACTCCTTGGGATCATAATTCTTTGCTTAAAAGGGACTTTGGGCAAACAAACATTTATCCATTTATTCATGGAGGTGAAAACACTTTTGTTCACTAGTAGACCCAGAAAAGATAATTGACCAGATTAACTTGAGAAAGGTGTTTATATGGCTGTGTGGTTTTTGGTGGAGAACTTTCTCAGTCTCTTTCGTTGCCAGAAGCATTACACTACAGAACATGAGTGTGCTTGTTTACAAGTTAGCAGCTTCAAGGTAAGTGGTTAATTCCTTTTAAGATGAAAAGCTATTTGCCTCCGAAGTGTAGGTCAGAGGCCTCAACAATTTAATAAATTAGAAAAGATTTGTTGAGAATCTATATTTAAGAAGTTCTGTGCTTTGATAAAATGATTCAGTTTCTCTTCCTGTCCATGAAATTCCAAGTACCCAAATTAACACTAGCGCACCTAGTAAGACTCTTAGAAGGGATCTCTCTGGAAACTGGACATTGCCAAACCTGAGGGTTGCTTCTTTTGACACTCTTCCCCCTAAACTAAAAGAAATAGCATTGTCTTTTTTAAAAAAATCCACTTTCTGGAGAAAGTATCCATTTCAGAAGGTGCTTTTTCTTTTTCTTTTTTTTTTTTAATATTGTACCTCACCTGTCCAATGAATATATTGCCAGCAGCAACTACAGATTCAATAGGAGATGACCCCAAAGTAACAAGCATTAGCCATCCAACCTAAAATGGAAAAAGGGACAAAGTCAGTGAAGAGCTGCTTGTAGGGATAAAGATCTTTAAACAGAAGAAAAATGCTGAGGCCTTCAACAATTATGGGCTGGCCACCCATGGCGCTAGGTGTGACTATACCTTCTCTAGTCCACAGAGCAGGCCAAGCCTATCAGATCCTCCTGTGTGAATGGTAAGTCTGAAAATTGCATATGATTTGAATATTAAGCCAATGCATTTTCATTGAATTGTTTTTAACAAGTAATAAATTATAATTGCCAACAGTCGCAGCAGGCTTCAATGCATTGTAGACATTGTTTAAAGCCCTTGATTCCTGTAACACATTTAGTTCTTATAACCCTATGAAAGAAATCCTGTAATTATGCCCATTTTATCAAAGAATTTATTCTTTGATAAGAAGGCATACAACTGTTTAGTTGTTTTGTTGAAGATCACCCAGCCACCTGAAGGATGCAGTTGAGGTCTTTTCTTCTTGATTCTCAAATGAACTTGTTTATGGTCTCACGTTTCTACTGGCCCTTTCAATCAGACACCATGGTGCATCCTCAGGATGGGGACTTCCTGCCTCCTTCCTTTCTGCTTTCTTTCTGCTCAGGCATGAGCATAGTAATGCTGAATGCTTAACCCATTAATCAGAAAATGATGGGCCCTTGTGCTTTTGCTGAAGTTCTGAATTCTGTGGGTATTCTGGTTCTTGTTCTCTATTTTATGTATTTATAGGCATCAAAGGAGTTTGTGATTGTGCCCAAGCCCTATACACACTGCCTTGCACTCATGTGCACTCAAATAACTTACAAATTACCAAATTTTCTGAGCTAACACATGAGTATAGGGCTGACAGTTGCTGGGCAGCAAGAATGAGATGAACTTTTCATAGTACTTTAAAAAATTGTATGTGCTATTAACCTCAGGAGCCCAAAGGAGCTTCTGCTTCTTGCTTTGATTCTGGGGTGGCCCCTGGACCTGGGCTGCCTGCTTTGTAACCTCCAGAGGACAAGCAGTGCTTGTGTTTAAGGCACAGAGCACATATCCAAAGGGGAGAAGCAGTGCTGTTCTCTCCGGGAGGCATCTGACCTAGTCCAGTGAATTCTTTGACTAAAGAAGTAATTGTCTCATGAAGACATCCTATGAGTTGCTAGTCAAAATCCTGTGGAAAGTCCCAGAGTCATAAAATTCCCCTCATAGGTACAAATAGGATTTTTGGGTTTGTATCTTACAACTTGGATGGTAGTGTTGGATCTTGGTAGAAAGAGAAAGGTACTTTGGAAGATCTTAGCTCAAAGACATTTGAGATTTTGTTGCTATGCCTCTCACCCAATCCTTTCCAGTCTGGGTACCTTTCTGATGATCCATTGCATCAGTCCCAGGTAATAGAGCATGGACATGACTGTGCTGAAGAAAACTACAATTGGCAGCACCTGGGTGGGGGGTAAGGAAGAGAAAGGAGCGTGGGTTAATTCTGGCCCGGGTTGTGAAGGCAGGCTTCAGCACTCCTTTCTGCCTCCTTTCCCACCTCTGAAACTTCATAACAACACTAGAACTAAGCCACATTTGTCAGTCTTATCCTAATTTGTTCTGAATAAGTGTGAGTGTATTTCTTTTTTCTTTTTTCTTTTTTTTTAAAGATTTATTTATTTATACAAGCACTGGGTATAGTCAGAAGCGCGGGAGGGTGAGAGAATTCTCCAGAGCCAGAGCGGGGAGCAGAGCAGGCAGAAGGACCGAAGTACACTGCTGAGCGGAGCAGCCGGCGGCAGGAGAGGTCTGCGTGCCATGTGGGACCCTCCTCTGGTGGCCGGGGAGCAGCTGGGGATCGAACCGGCACCGCGGTGGCTTCGGGCAGCTTCACAACCCAGCGCTAAACCGCTGCGCCACGGGGGAGACCCAGCGTGAGTGTATTTCATAGGACGCAACCTTTTTATTTTTTCTGTGCTGTGATCAATTTTTCTTTAGTTTCTCAGTGAAAGTATGAAGTTTTGGGGGCATTTGTAATAACTAGAAGGCTAAGGGCAGATATTCTTGTTCTGATATTAAATAGACGTTGACTTTAGCAATTGTTAGCAGAGTTAGCTGGGTCAAGATTAAGGGTAAGCAGAAGCACATCCTTATTCATCATGGCTGCAGAGATATACACTTACACACATATACAAAATAATGATGTTATTTATAGGTTTTTACCCTTTTAAAATAAAAATTAATTTTAGTATGTATTAAAAATTTTGTAACTGAAGTGGTATTGGCTTATAATGTTATATAGGTGTCAGATATACAGCCTTATAAATTAACAACTATATACAGTTGACGCTTGAACAATTGGGGGTTAGAAACATGGACAGATAATCCCAAAAACCATGAGTAATTTCTATTGTACCCTCTAAGGTTGGTTCACTTCATGAATGTGGAACCCAGGGACAGAAAAAAATCTGAGTTTAAGATCTGAGCGCTTCAAAATTGTGCTATTGGGTTTTCAAAAAAAAATCTGTTTTTCAAAATGCATCATGACTTTTCTGACAACCCAATACATTATATTTGCCACCAGAAGTCTAATTTTTATCTACCATCCTATAGTTTACCCCTTACACCTGATTTGCCTGCCCTCTGGCCTTTTTCCCCTTGGGTAAGCACTATTTAGTTGACTTCTGTATTCACAAAGGTTGTCTTTTTCTAGGTTGCATTTTCCTGAAATTTTTTTTAGTGCTTTCAAAATAGCCTGTGAATCTACAGGGAACAGTTTCTACCCTGAAGAGACCACTCAGAGCTGTGTCTGGGTCCCTCCCAGCCCCATCCTCTGTTCCTCAGCTGAATGTCCAGGAACAAGCTGCCACCAGAGGCACAGAATGACTGAGGACAATTTGTACAGGATCTAATTTAGAAAAAGCTATTAATAATATATATTAAAAGACATTTCATGCCATCATTCAGAGTACACTCGCTGATGTGCTTTTGTTGACATTAATGGACAGTGCCTTCCTGAGAGCCCCAGGGTGTTCAAGGGGCTCGTCTCGCCAATGTTCCAGAGAGGTCCTGCCTTGGCAGCAAGGATGGTGGCTGTGCCCTAGGGTGGGCTGGGGATCCAAGACACTGGTATAGTCTGGACAGAAACTTACTCCTTCCTTGTGACTTTAATTCTTCCAATTCTGAATTCTTGGTATAAGCCTATTTCTACCTTGATTTGTATACACATGACTTTTCTGAGGCTTAGTTATCTCAGCATCAAGTTGTCAAATCAGCAAAAAAAAAATCTGCAGACTTTAAAAAAGATTCAAGGTAACGCTTGCTTCACTAAAACTGGGGTAATCTGGGGGGAAATTTGGAGTCCCTAGGTTAGAAAACAATTAAGACGTGTAGGAACACAGCACTGAAAAGAAAGCTAAAGAAAAAGTCTAATGCATTTTTCTGCCTCAGTGATAAGAATCTGTGGGAAATTTGCAGAGGAGGGTGGGCTTCCTGGGGCTTGTGGGATTAGGCCTGGGTATGGGATCAGGCTGCCTTTACCCTGTAGAACAAGGTCCCTTTGGTTGGTAGAAAGTCCAGCCCTCTATACCTGACTAGGCAAAGGCAATGCTGAAGGAAGATGGGAAAGGTTTAGCATGAGGACTTTGGAGCAAGAGGTTGATGTGGGTGAGCAGTGATTCTGGTTGATCCAGGACTAAGGGATTTTCTGAATGCAGAGCTGTCACTGATCCACTAACAGAAGCCATTAGTGGCCATATGCCTACTCATTGCCATGTGTCTATTACTCTTTTCCCTGCAGTCTCAGATACAGTTATCCTATAGAATTTTCATATGTATCTCAGGCAATGCTACAAAGCCCCCAAAAGTATTTTTGAAGATTTGTGACTTTCTCTAGATGTTTCCCTTCATGCTCTAGTAACAAAGTAAAATGTTTATGGCTCACTGATTTCAGATAAGACTGTAAATGAAAAAGTGTGGTGATGTGTAGTGCACCTGATTTCTGGTCAGTTAGGTTGTAGCTGAACATGCACAAAGATCAAGAAGTTACTGAAAAGGAAGTGACCACATAGACAAGGGGTTTGGCTTTACCTTAAATGCAAAGAAGTAGTCTGTGTATTTCTCACCAAAGACAAATGAAGCACCAGCATTAGTGTACTCCAAGAATGTCTGAATAAAAGAAAGGAAAAAAGCAAATGATTATAACTACAGAAATGCTGGTTACAGTACCCAGAACTCACCAGGTTCTGCAGAGGGTGAAGACCCAGTCTTTCCCCGTTTGGTGGATGGCATAGAAGTATATTTTTGAACAACATCTGCATATAGTTTTCTGACATTCAGTTGGACTCCCACAAAACTAAAGAATAAGCCAGTTGTGGTAGTTCATTCCAGAAAGCCGCATATGGCACATTGGTGGCGCTGGTTATAAACAGATACAAAGAAAGTCTGTTCTCTCTTTCTTGGACCATCTTAGAAGTGTGACATCCTGGGCCTCCCTGGTGGCGCAAGGTGTTGGGATGCAACTTATGAAGCAGTCCGCAGCCTCTGCAACATGAGTTTGATCCCCCTGGCCTGCCAGAGAGCAGCCCACATGGCACAGCAGACCTCTCCTGACTCACCTGCTGCTCCCCTCAGCAGTGTGCTTCAGTCAGTCTGCCTGTTCTGTTCCCTACTCTGTCTCTGGTGAGTCCTCTCAACCCCCACGCCTCTGGCCTGTACCCCAGCTCCTGTATGCATAAATAAATCTTAAAAAAAAAAAGAGAAGTATGACATCCTTTGGGCAGGATAAAGAGGGCAATATGGGATAGGGGAGTGATGTAGTGGGTAATGTGGGTGAGGAACAACAGTGATATTAATATACTAGGCAGATTAACATATTTGCATCAATAAAATTATTTGTCTAATTCATGCTATGGAATTAATCTTTGGGTCAAATAATGCAGACAAATAAGCCTAAAGCAAGGCACTCTTTTGAACCAAACTTACCTGAACCTGTTTGCCTAACCAATCGAAAGCCATAAATCCAGGGTCAGTCCTTAGGATTAAGAGACCAAGAAGAAACTGTAACCCAATTCCCCAGAAGACAGGTCTCCAGTAAACCTATGTAGAAAGATCAAGAGAAATATCTTATTAGAGAATGAATGCTGAAAACAACATTATTTCCCAGAGAATCACTATTTCCTTAGAGTTTTTAAGATATGGCCTGCAACCCTCATCTTTGGGAAACCAAAGCAGTGATGAACACAGAATATCTTGACATAACCATACCAAAAAAAAAAAAAAAAAAAAAGAGGGAACTCTCAGGATTGTATTACTTTTTATTAAACTGGGCAGGCTTGTATCCATTGTCATAATAAAATAACCTAGACACAAAAGATCATCTTAGAAGGGCCAGTAAAGGAGAGAGGGTCTGACCTTCCTAGTCATGGTATAAGTATTCGATATATATAATTATTTCCCCTGTCTGGAAAATGGAAAGGCAGAACATAACCTCTTTGTGTGCCCAAGGTTTGTTGATCTGATGATTTGTAAGTGAATTAAGTGAAATTCCACCCTGTTGGAGGACTCTCATTTCACTGTAAAAGGAACCAATTAACTCTAATGCAGACCCAGGATTGCTGCAGTAATGGACAATCATCTGCTTTCACTTTTGATGCAGAGAAGAGTGGCCTGAAAAGAAATATGGAATCGGAGGTATAGAAAAACAGCAGGTATTCAGCAGATTGGCTCCAAATGAGGTCAGTCATTTGGACCCTTTTAGGTGACTTTGGCCTTGAAGAATACTTTTTCCTTGGGTCAACCTTTAGGTCAGTAAAGTCCTCCAGAGTTTGCTCCTATGAGTCATGTGTGAAAAGTTTGATGTCTTAGGATTCTTGCCAAACTGATGGGTTGTAGGCTGACAGAACAAGGATGAGAATTGACTTCAATACGAACAAAACTGTTTCAGGACAAATTTTTGGAGTGAACTAGCCTAAATTGCAAATGGAAATTTGATAAATTGCAAAATCCAATGATAAAATATTAGATTATGTACTGGCCTGGGGAAATCTGGACCAAAAGGATGAGTTTTCTTTTTGTATGCGTTTTATGGGGGAATGTGGGTTATGTGAGTAGGAATTGGACTTGACATGAAAGAATATCTCACTGGTTGTTTAACTGGAAAATTACTGAGTGAAAAATGAGAAAGTAATAGTACTATGAAAGCTGACAAAGGCACTCTAACCTCTTACAATATCAGAGCAAGGTAAGAAAAATATTGAATAATAATTAAATTTTCCCATACTTATTATTTTCAGCAATTTACACATGAGACAAAAGAAGAAAACTCCCCAAAAGATCCATTTCATACTTACTTTGGTTGGGTGCTTGGAAAAGAGAAATACCAGGACAAGGTACATTATGAGACCACCAAATGACACCAGCTGCTGTTGGCCCAGTTTGGCAGTGTCAAAGATCAGCCAGAAAATAATCCCCAGGATCAGTGAGCTCCAAATTACCCTAAAAGAACAAGAAAGGAAGCATTTGTTGTGTAACTTGAAAATCTTGTAACAAAAAACTATTAATGAGAATAACATCCCTGGCACCAGGAAGCTGTGCTTTTAGAAATTGCAACAGACCCTCTTTGGTGGTGGTTACAAAGGAAAATAGGCAAAATTCAATCAATGTGTCCTCTTTGTTTCACAACTCTTGGCCCTTTGCTGGTTCAAGGGTATATAGAGGGGTCAGAGAGGAGCAAAAATGTTTGCAGAGAGAAGTCTAGTGATTTCTTTAAGAGGCCAAGAACTTGTCACCCCGGTTTTGGGAGATGGGTGAGGTCTTCTTTTTAACCATCTTTCTTTTAACGGAGTTTGAAATGTGTTCTCTGCTGTTGGCGATCTCACATGAGGCTCAGTGAGCTAAGTGAGACTTTGAGTAGGTTCTGACTCCTTGGGGAGTATAGGGAGCATGACAAGGCTGACTCACGGCTTGAATGGCACAACCAAAAAGGATGATGTGTTGGGATTGCACGATCCTAGTTTATTAGGTCAAAGATGTGTGATGGCTCCTGGTGGATTCCAGTGGGCCACACTGGAGAGATCTGGTCCTGTGTCCTACCCAGTATGGCCACCTTGAGGGAGAGGAGGCCCTGCAGAGAGTGGCTGAGGGTGAAACCCTGAATGGTCACTTGCAGGACATTGAATCGTATAGGTAAGAGTCTGCTTTAATAATTCTCAGACCCTCCTTCCCAAGGAGGCCAGCTTTATGCCCATAGCAGAAGCCACCTTCCCAAGTTAGAATGGTCCAAGCACTTCTCTCTTCTCTGTTCTGAGGCCAGGCATATTTGTCAGCAATCTCCATTGTTTTATATTATGAATCAATTCTTTATGAAAATAGGTATTGAGATAGGTGGTGTTACTGCTACTGTACCCCATCCTCTGCCAGGACAGATATTCCTGATTGATCATGATGCCTTTCTACTTCCAAGTTAGAGGGTTAGCCAAGGTCCTCCCTGAAATGACTAAATCCTTGCACTGTTTTGAATCCCTAGCAAATGCTTCTTGACATGTAGGTACAAAGGTTTCTCTCTAATGTAGAAAACGGATGACCATTAAATCAATATCTTTTATAATTTGGAGGGACATGAAGTTAAAGCAATTTGTTGGGACATTTGAAAAGATCTAGGATGAACCACTGCCTTACGTAGGCCTTGATTTCTTCTTTCTAAAGTGAAGGCATTACAATGGATTACTCCTTAGTTTGTTTGCATCTTCAATATTCCATAAATAAGGATGGAATTTCAGAACAAAATTTTGGAACAGTGTAGGAAAAGACTAACATTTCTTCAAATGAAACTGGAGAACCAAGTGCATTTACCACTTCAGCCAGAACCAATGGCTATTTAGAAGCCTTCTGCCGGGAGAGAGGAACTCAACGATTCGATGTTCATATTTGGCCATAAAATGATCCCAGCCCACGAAGAAGATGACAGCCAGAGTGATGACGAAAAGAGGAAGGGCTCTGCGGAAGTTCAGCACACAGGCTGCAATCACCATGGCCAGGTAACCTGTGCAGGGAGCAAACACAGACAGGGAACATCTCCATCGCCCACTAGGGACCCCACTGTCTGATCTGGCTCAGCCAAGGGCAGGCAAGCCAGAGTATACTCTTGATATAGTTTTTTACTCCTTTGATTATGAGAACTACATTTGGGGGGTTTGGGGTTTTCTCATGCTAGTCCCTAAGAGTGTCGCACGAATGCTAGGAGGACAGGGTGCTAGATCTTTTTCCTTATAGACCCTCCTGAGTTCTTGAATGTTGAGGCTTGATAATTGACCTCTCATTCAGTACTAACCAAATTTTTCTGGCATTGCAACTCTGTAAGTGACCTTCTATTAAAGAAAAGCCAGGTGTAGAAGGAACCACTGGCAAAAAGTGATTCTCCTGGTGTGCAGCTTTGACTTGACCTAAGCTTCAGTTGGGAATTAGGCCTACAGCAATCTCCAAGTGTCACAGAATATCCAAAGGAGGAAGGGAACCAAGAACAGGCTGCCCCCTATGTGCCAAAATGGCATGCTGGTTATTTTGAATTGAAAGCAACTGAAAAGCAGGAGGTCCAAGAATGATGTTTTGTCCAGTTACATATCTATCTCCCAAAAAACAGGTAATAAATCTGTGTGTGTGTGTGTGTGTGTGTGTGTGTGTGTGTGTGATGCCCCTGAAGGTATTAGAAAGTCTTGTCATGCCAGTCTAGCCCTTGCAAGGTCTTTTCCAAAGATCCAATTTTTAGGGAATCCTCAAAAAGAAACATGGGTATTTCATCCACCTTTATTATTTACCTGCTAGTAAAATACCCCATAAGATGTACTGAAGGGTGGTTTTATGTTTCCTAAAAAAATCACAAACAGTACCACACTTCCTTTCCAGATACCTGTAACGATATAAAAACAAAAAGGCAGGTAGAAGTAAACGCCAGCGATGTGTTAAAGAGGAAACCACAGTCCCAAAATGGGGGTGCTTGGGCTAAGCCCACCAAGACTTAACACTAAGCTTACTGCAGCTTCAACTTCCCTAAGGAATGTAGTCTCAACTGGTCGGTATGGAATTTTCTGGCCAGTACTAGTGAAGAGACTTTCCATTCCCCAAGGGAAGGTGAGATAATCTGTCACAAAACCTTTCTCTATTCCCCCTTCCTTTATCTTGCCTTCTTTCTGCCTATAAAAACTTTTCATTTTGCGCAGCTTTCTGGAGTTCTCTTCTACTTGCTAGATGAAATGCTGCCTGATTTATAATTATTTAATAAAGCTCATTAAATCTTTAAAAATAACGCAGTTGAATTTTTGTTATTATAGCTCGTGAAATAAACTTGCATGCTAAGGTTAGATGGTGCTTTGTAAAATCAGCAGGCAAACAAATTCATGAGATCTGTGTCCTACAAATAGAAATGGGAAAAGTCATGACTTGGCTCAATCTTTGCAGGATGGATGTGCTCAGCCCTGGAGGGTTATAGAGATGCTAGAAAGAAAAAATGTTCTTGGAAATAGAGAAGGGGAAATGGAGAACTGACCAAAACCTGAAAATAAACCACAGGATGAAAGTCTAATCACAAGACTGTAAGGGTGCCTATTAGCTTTAGGCCACAATTATTAAATGTTGATTATTAAAAATGCATCCTTTCTGATTCCACAAAGTTTGAGTACGTTGGTGGCTCCTTGTCCTCAATCACTATCCTCTGGAGTGGGAGGCTGACAGACTTCAGTGGGACCTTGAAATGTAAAGTAGGATTTCATGGATTTGAAGACTATTTATCAATGGGTTATAATATAGCTTTTCCAGAAAGTTCTAAGATAGTTGGTGTGTCTGTTACTGTCTGGAGCTTGGTTTGAGGTGGTGTGAGGTGCATGAAAAATGAATGCATTGCTCACTTTTTATGGGGAGGATCGTACTCACTAGTGTGTGAGCTTAGAGAAGTTGCTGGGCCATAACCACAACACTGTCCTGAACTTTTGGGGTGCTCCTGGTCTCCCCACACCAATGGCCCTTCTAATGGAGTCCTGTTCTTCTCCCACTTGAGGCTGGTGGAAGGAATTTACTCAACATTTAACTTGCCACTTCCTGACCACTGAAGAATATTTCTAAAACCACCACTATTCTCATCCCACATAATAAATTCACCATCTCTAGAGCTGAAAGGACTCAGCCTCTAGCTAGGACTTCCCATCCACTTGTTAAATCCTCTGCTTTCCTTCCTTCTAGCAGTCATGCCCACATATCCACGTCTCAGCTCCCTTCAAGTTTCAGAGCAAAGCTCCAGTCCCTCCTTTGCAAAATCCTCTTGCATCTTCAGAGACTTCGCTGCACACTATTTCAGCTGTCTTCTTTTACTGTGTTCTCTTATGAACCTTTGAAGACTGAACCTCCAGTGAGTGCTCCAGTCCCAGGACCTTGGACATTAAGAGTACTTGACAGGCATTTGTTGAATCACTAGATAAACAAAATAAAAGTGTATATTGCTTTTCTGGAGCAGTCTTTTACAGCTGTGGTTTGGGACCCATTAGGGAGTTGTGAAGTCACACAGTGCACGAGACCCTATCTTTAAAAAGGAACAGGATCTCACATAGAGTACTGTCTCACACACAGTAGTGATAGGTACCCTTTTATGAAACTCATCTTATGAATGGGTATGAATATGTATACTGAGAATAGAAACTTGCTCCAGGGGGCTTCCCCGGTGGCGCAGCGGTTGAGCGCTGGGTTGCGAGGCTGCCCGCGGCCTCTGCCGCAACGGTTCGATCCCCGGCTGCTCCCCAGCCACCGGAGGAGGGTCCCGCATGGCGTGCAGACCTCTCCTGACGCCCTCTGCTCCCCTCAGCAGTGTACTTCGGTCCTTCTGCCTGCTCTGCTCCCTGCTCTGGCTCTGGTGAATTCTCTCACCCTCCCGTGCTTCTGACTGTACCCAGTGCATGTATAAATGAACAAACAAACAAACAAATAAATAAATAAATAAAACATGCCTCTATTTAAAAAAAAAAAAAAAAAAAATAAAAAAAAAAAAAAAAAAAAAAAGAAACTTGCTCCAGAAGATATTGAGGGACTAAGGGTGTAGTAAAGACTAAGGTTTTCATCGTCAAATTTAGAAAGGCTGGTGATGCCTTATCAACCCTGATGGATATAGAGATATAGTGTTAAAAAGCAGCTGTGGAGAAGGGTACCATTTATTTGGGTACATCCATTTACTTTAGGTTGCATTAATCAGATTTTTAAATCTCTGAAGTCTCAGCATCTCTCACCATCTTAGAAAAACTCTTAGCTCTCAGGGTCAGAGTTTCATAAAGTAAAATGTACGCTGGAGCTGACTTTGGATCTCCAAGGTGGTAAATATTCTTGATTGTGTATACATGACAGGAGATTTTAATCCTAATTCTTACCAACTTTAGATATATATTTTGATATATAAAAACAAAGTTCCTTAGAGATGTATGCATTAAAATAAAATTTAAATAGGAATTCAAAAAACTGACAAATACTTTAGTATTATGATTGAGTACCAGACAATCTTGGACTGGGAAACAGAAGCTGTAATTGTAAGCTGGCTTTGTTCTTCTCTAGCTGACTAACCTTTGGTAAGTCAATTCTCTGACCTTCATTTTCCTGGCCCCCAAAATAAAGGTAGTAATTTGTTTCTTTTCCTTATGAAATAATTTGAACTTGAATGACCTTCAGAATAATATAGGTAAGAGCAAATTTGTTGGGATTTAAGGTGGATCAGGATTGGAGAAGTCAAATGCTTATCAATTGATGTTGAGAAGATGAATTAACTACTTTTGTGTGGACTGGCGCAATTAGTTGGAAATATATATACCTTTAATTAGAAGACTGTCCTGGATATTGGGTCCCCAGGAATCAACAATTTGAATTTACCATTGTTGATCATCCTACAGTTCCATTAACTTTTCTGTTATGGTGTTAGGTGGGTTAGCCGGGAAGAGGGGTTCATGGTGGTGATAATCTCTATTGTCAAAATGTTTAAAATTAGGTGAGGATAAAACCAAGTGGGAAACAAAATAAGTGGTAGATGTGGTTGTTTCTTTGGTTTAAGTCTGTACCCTTCTTGATATGTTTCTGGATCATCCTCTGTGGCTTCTTTATTTCTTCTAGAATCCTGCTCAATGGTGACTTGTGCTTCACCCTAGAAATGAAACAATGCAGCAGAAATGGAATATGAGAATTCTGGGTACAATGGACCCTGATCTCCACTGTTCAGAATTTTGGCAAAAAAAACTTTCAAAGGGTCCTTTTAAATTATTATGTAAGAAGATGGCATCTATTATCTATCACACAGACATTTTTTTCCCTTATCACAAAAAATCAAGGCTTACCACTCTCTCCCTTTACTCCCAAAGGAGCTATTTTCTCCTTTTCTTTAGGGAAAAGACAGCCTCTGCTTTTTGCTTCTGTCTCTACTATAATCATTCAACCTCCACTCTGTACTAAATGAATTTAATAGCAGCAGTTGCATAAATCTCCTTTATATTCTATGAGCCCTGGTTTCCAAAGGACTGAAACCAAGGGTGGTTTTATTTCCTGGCAGCCCAGGGCTTGGCCTACAGATGGGAACACTAGCTCAGCACCTTCGAGAACTGAAAAAAGTTCCTCATATGGAATATAAACAAAGAAAGGCTCAGAAAAAAAATCCAAAACCAAAGTATAGAAACCTGATGGCAAAATTGAGACTATCAGAGAGGGAGAGAAAATGTGCAGAACAGTGGGTGGAGGAGCTCCCAGGACTATGGGTGCCTGGTGGTGGGTGTGGTGGGGTACACAGATCTGAAAAGGTGGGATCTATATCTCCGAATAACATACAGTGTTGTAAACCAGTGTTATCTCAATTAAAAAAAGAAAGAAAAGACATTTACGTAATCACAATGAAGAGCATGTTTATAAATGTTTACAAATCCTTCCCTTCACCTCCCTAGTCCCAACCCCAAAAGAATGTTGTCTTTCCTCTGAATTTTTTATTCCTCTTTCCCAATATCTAAAGAAAGTTCTGTTTTTCCAGTATGATTTCAGATAATGTAGTGTAATTTAAAAAAGTAGATGAATAGTAAAAAAATTTCAAAAAAAGGGAAAAATGAAAGTTAATCTACATACTAAAGAGCTCAGTAGGCTATGTGAGTAACTGACAAGAGCCTCAGGAATGCAAAGTTTAATTAAATGAAGAAAAAAGCAGGATGAGAATTTTTAGAGGACACTTGCCCTGTAGGAGAAGTGGGCAACAGGGAAATCAGTTGTAAGAAATATTTCTATGATTTATAAAAACATTTTCTCTAAAGCACATGCAGATGTAGAAGATATAATCTATATATAACATATCCACAGATGAAAGAATCGTCTTCTGCCTCCTTTACTTTAAAATTGAGATGATTTGTTTAAGCTAGAAATCTGTGCCTTAAGGATGGAGGCAGCAGCCACTCTCCCCAGCAGAGAACTCTGAGAACAGGTGAATAAACAAAATCTCTTTGTTTGGTGGTGTGTGTTTTCTTCATGACTCTGCCGTATACACTCTAATTACCATTTAATTCATTCCTCTGAGTGCCAGCTGAGTGCCATGCGTTCTGTTCCCATAGCTCTCAGGTGCTTGTTGCACAGCGGTTACCATGGTAACAGATTCACCCGCCGCTCTCCAGCCTTACCTGTAGCGCGTTTACTTGCTCTTTGTTTATCAGCCCACCTCTGCTCCTTAGTGAGTTGTTTCCTGATGTGTTCTGGTTGTCACGGAAGTCGTCTTCATTCTAAGGAAAAAGTACAGATTGCAAACATAAAATTTTAGCGTCAAAAAGCAAATATTCTTTCAGAGAGTGATAACTAGAAGAATTTTGAGGGATGGGACAGCAAAGATGAGTGTTTAGATGGGGCAAATGATAAAGGAGCCAGGGACTCTTGGTCCATAATGAAATAGATGTTTTTGTTTTGTTTTGGTGTGCCGAAAAGCTCAGACTGGTCCAACCTTGAGGACCAATCACTCTCATCTTGGCCAACTTTGTAATCAGCAGACCTGGGGTGGGTTTCTGATCTCCTTTTTATCATATCACACAGGCATTCAACTTAGAAAACAAAACAATGTATAATAATAAACCACAGACCCAGTAATTCTATTCTGGATGTCAGGTTTTTGGGAGTTAAAGTGTATTTTGGTTTGGGTTAGTGCAATCTCTGGTAGAAACCAGCACACAGAAAATGCCTTCTTTTGTGAGACCACTGATTTTATTTTATTTTATTTTTTTAAAGATTGATTTATTTATGCATACAAGAGCTGGGGTACAGGCCAGAGGTATGGAGGGTGAGAGGATTCACCAGAGACAGAGTGGGGAACAGAACAGACTGAAGTACACTGCTGAGGGGAGAAACGGGTGAGTCAGGAGGGGTCTGCTGCGCCATGTGGGTTGCTCCCTGGCCGGCGGGGAGAATTGAACTCCTGCTGCTGAGGCTGTGGACAGCTTCATGGGTTGCATCTTAACCCCTTGTGCCACCAGGGAGGCCCTGAGACCACTGATTTTACTTGAAGGTTTGAGGTTGGAGGGAAGTCCCGATCCCTTTGCTATTGTTTCCAGATATGACAAATGCCTGGCTCATTCTTCTTTGTGTGTGTGTGTGTTGCAGGGGTGTCCAATAGTTTCTTCCATTTTATCCTAATTTGCCTTTTTATAAGCTACTTCATTCCAAGTAAGGCAACTTGTAGACAATAGCACCTGACACATCTGTGCTCACGTCCTCTGCTCACTCTTTTGACTGTGACCTGGTCTTTGAAAAAGGAACAAGTGTCTGACATTGATATTAACTTTTTATCTCTGGTTGGCACCATGGATGTAGATAAAATTTCAGTTCCAATTTGGGTGGCATTGAAACACAAGGGTGTATGAACATAAATAGAAATTGTTGCCACATGACCATTTTGTGTTGCAGTCCTTTATTCTTACCTTCAGTGTTTTGTTTTTTTTTTTGCACATAGCTGACTATCGATTATTTGTTGAATTAATGAACATGGTGATTTTAATTTTGCAGTAACTAATACAGCAATGTACCAGTATCATTGGTAGTTAGTATAGAAATTGTGTGTGTGTATGTATGGAAAGATCACAAATTGCTGATGCTGCCTGATGGGGATTTAAGGACTCATTTAAGTTTTCTTTCATGAATGGGTAAAGTTTTCTTTAATATAAATTTAGAAATAAACACAGCATGGGTTGGTGGGGAAACAGGAGATGCATAATAGAAAGGACTAGTCTTCAGGGTCCCTAGTTACATGCCAGGCAGGTCACAGCCATGTACACCCCAGTCCACCCTTGTATACAACACTATTATGACCTTAAGAATCCTGACTTTTTCTGGTTCCATGAGAAGCTTCTTGATGCTGATTATTCCTGCCACCTGGTGGCAGAAACTGAAACTTACTTGTGGCAGGAGAGGATGATTTTAAAATTAATGGAAAAGAAAGTAAGCATGTGTGTGTGTGTGTGTGTGTGTGTGTGTGTGTGTGTGTGTGGTGGGGGTGGTGTAGATTGTGATAAGAACACCTCGGGATGTATTTTGCATGGTGTAATGGGTTTGTTTTTACCTTCAGTAGAATACATACCTTGATTTTTTAGCATTTCAGAACACCCATTTGAGGTGACACAGCTATGTCTCTGCTTCTTTTCAAATTGGAAAAGGGACCGTGAAAGGTGATCACTTCTAATCCTACTGTTTCTTGCTATCTATGCAGCAATTCAGAAAGCTGCCTAAGCACACCAGACTCTTGCAGCGTTGAGTAGGAGAATGTCTAAACACTGGGCTGCCTGCCACGGCTTGTTAGCATTAGTTAACAAATGTTAGTTTACTAAGTCTAAGGGTGATGATGTTGATTGAGCCCCCTTTGAAAGGCAGATCCCTGAGTCAGGAGTCCACTGTGCCTGGAGTGTGTTTCCTACCTGTCTCTTTCATCTTATCCTTTCCATACTGCTTGAGTGAGTGTGATGGGCAGAGGATATTACAGGGAGTACAGAAGGGCAGAGCTTATTATTTCCTTCTTCCTCCCATTCAGTTTCCGAACCATATTATAACTTCTAGAACACAGGAAGCTACTAACCCCTTTCCCCCCAACTATTTCTGGTGTCCCCTTCTATAGCATTTTAGCTGAACACATGGCCACACAGAGGAAAGACTGAATTTCCACACTTGTAACTAGATTCTGCCAATGAAATGCAAATAGAAGCCTTGCCCTGAGAGGAGTAGGGCCGGGATGCAGTGGTGACCTGGGGGAGAGGTGTTTGGGCACCTGAAAACATAGACCAGCATTCCAGATCTGTACTACCCACCTACTGATTTTTATCTGCAGGAAACATCTCTCCTTTCTTATTTTTTTTTGCATCTGGACTGATCTTCTATCTAGTATGTATAGGACACTGTCTTAAACCCTCACAATGTTTTGTACAGCTCTTCCTCATACTTGCAATGGGGTTATGGCCCTTAAATTGTAAGTTGAAAATATCCTAAGTTGCAAATGCATTTAATGCTCATAACCTACCTAACATTAGTGCTTCGGTTAGCCAAAGCATGCTCAGAAAACATGTATTAGTCTACAGTTAGGCAAAATCATCTAACACAAGCTCTGTTTTATAAAAGAGTGTGGGATAGCTCATGAAATTTATTGCATATTTGCTGCAAGTGACAGTCTATAGAGTATTGGTTGATCTTTATGTTTATTTCATTGTTTAGTTTGACAATTGCTTGCTCTCTCTGGTGAGTTTACAGCCACTTTGTTCTCTGTTGAAATTTACCTTGAAAAAGTCAACATCTGTTTTGTAATTTGATTTCAAATTGTTTAAGATCACACCTCCCCCTACTTTTTTAAATTTAAAAAGTCTACAAGTACTCTAATATTAACACACTATTGTGAAATAGAAAGGTTGGGATTACATTCTCTCCTAAAAACAGCTAAAGTAAATTTGCTCAAAGGAAAATTGAGAAGTTCCTCAACAAAATCCCAAAACTTTCCCTTGTACCAGCCCTATACTGGTGGCTTGCTGCAGGGAGGTGAGAGAAGAGGTAAAAGGGAGCATGGCCAGGAATGCAGGTATCTCAGCTGGCAGTAGAGACAATGTCCAATCACCAAATCATGGAACCAACGTAAGTGTATATTGACAGTGCCCAACAATCAACAACTGGATAAAATATTGTGGACTATATGCTCAATGGGTCATGATGCAGCTATTAAAGAAACGATGAAATAGTGCCTTTTGGGACAAAATGGATGTATCGTAATGTGACTGTGCTAAGTGAAATTAGTCAGAAAGTGAAAGTTACTGGATGGCTTAACATATCTGCAGAATATAAATAACCAAAGAAAACAAACTGGCGAAGTACAACAAAAAAAACTAAAACTCAAAATATACAGGTTACAAGAGGGGATGGGGAAAGGGAGGAGAAAAGAGGGTAAGAAACAGTTTAGGTTGGTGGAGGGTGAGTTAAACAAGTGCACATATGCAGTTTTAATCCCACAATTACATTATTATGCAGATTTTTGCAAATCAATAAAATTGAGGAGAATAAATTTTAAAAAGTGATGAAATGCACATTAACTTCCACCCTAATTTTAGTGCCAAAGTAGGCTTGAGAATGGTTGTTGCATGCAATGTCCACCTGGTGGTGCCACTCCACCAAGGTTGTAAGGCATGGCTGCACCGAAGGGCAACCCAGGATCTCATTTTTTTTTTTAAAAAAAGATTTATTTATTTATTTATACAAGCACTGGGGACAGTCAGAAGCAGGGGAGGGTGAGAGAATTCACCAGAGCCAGAGCGGGGAGCAGAGCAGGCAGACTGACAAAATACACTACTGAGGGGAGCAGCGTGAGTGGCAGGAGAGGTCTGCGCCCTGTGGGAACCTCACTGGCGGCTGGGGATCGAGCTGGCGCTGCAGAGGCTGCGGTCAGCCTCTGCAGCCCAGCGCTCAAGCGCTGCGCCACCAGGGGAGGCCCAGCTGGGTCTCATTTCTGATCCTGGCACCCGGTAGGTTGTGGAAGCAGGAACCTGATTAAAAGCATTAATGTGGTAAGCAGTGATCTCAGTTTTATATAAATGTTTACCTCCGTGTGTATGAAAGAAAAATTAAACGTATCTGGCAAATTGATCAAAGGAATCAATTTGAGTCAGATGGAAAAACAAAACATAATCATATATCGAAAAATGTGCAATGTCATATAAATAACATATATTATGAAAATTGTCTAGGGTGGTCATATCTAATCAATAAATTCAGTCCTTTAAAAAAAATAAATTCAATCCTTGTCAAAAAGCTTTTTGAGATCACTGCCCAAAAGGGACAAATTGAGCAACGAGTCATAAACATGAACGTGTGCACCTTCCTCATGTCATAAAATAAGACGGGTTGAGGGAAAGGTAAATGGTGGTGCAGATGAGTAAACATGTGGGAATGATGAGAAAATATATTATCGAGCAAATGAATATAATAAAGGTTCTGTTATAGGACAGGGAGAGGGGCAGCCCAAACCCCGCAAACCTGCCTATTCTAATTGGGTTCTGCCATCCGCCGCATCAACACAAAACATAGGAGACTTTAATGAAAAGGAACTTTAATAAAACTAGGAAACAATACAGGTAAGGCAAAGAATCTAGTTTCTAAATGAAGCACCCAAAGTTACCCGTCCCCTCGTGGGTGAAACTCCATCCATATGGGATCAGCCCAGAGCAAGGCCCCAAAGCCTGCCACAAGTCTAAAGCATCTTCCAGTGGGG